TTCCCGATCCGTAGCAGCGCGTTTATAACAGGAAGGTTCTGCTAGAAGGCATGTGAGGTCTTCTGAGCCTTAAAGAAGGCTATGACCAGTACCTCAACATTGGCCCTGCTAGATTTCTCTCGACTGTTTGGCATCCAGTGTTATCCCAAATCGCGTTCATGAGTATGATGTTGTTCAAACCTGGAGATCGTAGCTACTGGGATATATGTTACATATCCACACCGACCATCAGGGCCTCAAGCATCTTCTCGACCGAAAGGTTTTTACTCCATACCAACATAGGTGGTTGGTGAAGGTGATTGGATATGACTACGAGCTACACTACAAACCGAGTCCGACCAATAAGACCACAAAATGCCTTGTCTCTGAGCTATGCATGGGCAGCTTTGGCAGCAGTAGTGAGGCCAGTAGTGTGGTTGTGGGATGAAGTGTGAAGGGCAATGGAGACCAGATGGATTTAGAAGGTGATGACACTTCATTAATATTGTTTACTTGTTTATCACTCTCATTCTTGATACATTTTCTTCTTCTATTAAAGCATCTTTCGTCATTTCACTGGTATTTCTTAACTAAATCATAGCTATTTGATCAATGAGTCTTTGATAGACCTAGGATATGTTATTGTGCTCTTTGATGCCTTCTCGGTGTGTTTCTTATGGTTTCGAAGGTACAAGGCAACCTATGGATGATTGGATCAAACAATGGCCACGCCTTTCCATCCTCCGCCTCGGGTTCGTCGGTCAGCGGTGCGGGCTTCTCTCCATCGCCGCTGCTCATCCGCCCTCAGCATCTCCTTCGCCGAGCTCTCCATCCTCTGCAGTGCTTGATGGAGTTGTTCTTCTAGTTGTGCGATCTAGTCCTCTTTTGAGAGTTGTGATGAAATCATAGTCGAACAGGACTCTGATACCACTATAAGAACTATGGATTTCTGACGAACAAGGGATTGGTGAGAGTTGTAATACTACTAGCCTTGAACCTGGCGGTCCCAGGTTCGAATCCCTTCAGTAGTACCTAATTACAAAAAATAACCTATATCACCCTTATCTATAAAAAAAGAACTATGGATTTCTAAGAAGCATCAAGAAAGATTGATAAGAGAATTAGAGTTCAGGATTGAGAATTGAGAAGAATTTGGCAAAATTGAGAGAAGAAGAAGAGATAGGGATTTAGAGATTTCAATATTATTTCCTGCTTAATCTGAAAATAAGAGTGTTCTCCCTTTAATAGGTGCTAACAAATAACAAAATACCACCTCACTAACAAATAATGGTTTGGCCTAGTTGTAATACCACTACCCTAGAACCTGAAGGTCTTAGGTTCGAATCCTTTCAATAGTACCTGAATCACAAAAAATTGAAACTTATATCACCCTTATAAAAAAAAACAAAATACCTATATCACTCTCATAAAAAAACAAAATACCACCTCACTAAAAAAAATACGGTCGAGCCCTTTACCCTCCCCACTCGACCAGGCCGTGTTTCTAACACGATCTCTGCCATTTCCCTTGGATTTCCAGTTCAGGTCATGCTCTCCCTCCTCTGAGCTTATTGCATTTTGGTACGCCGATTTAACCTGGATACTCTCGTCTCCTTCAGTTCCTCACACGACAAACAAGATCATGAGCAGTGGCGGAGGGAGAAGGTAATAGGGTGGGTCTCGGGATTCACCCTGCCTTGGAAGAAATTTTGATAAATTAGGTATAATAGTTAATTGACAATGAAGATTATGGCGCATCCCAATTGAAAATGGTTGACTGATAGGTCTTTTGTTCTAATACTGATGAGTCGATGCCTTATTCATTAAGCACATGATATTTCGATTTGTACAAACTTCAAGCACATATAAGTTAGCTTTCTTTTGAAGGGGGTTGCCAGTAAATGGTTACAATTCATTATTTTTTACCTCTCCTAACAACTCTAGTTATTGATACTAGATAATTGCTTACAAAGAACACCATTTGAAAGTGAAAGAATAACTAAATCGTCAAGTTATTGATACTAAATGATTCTTGACAAAGAACATCATTAGAAAGAGAACAACTAATTGAATCATGACTAATAGTTTGATATAAATTGCATCATTGAATCTCTTTCAACAACTCAAATTATTGACACTAAATGGTTCTTGACAAAGAACACCATTAAAAACGAAGGACTTTTTCCAGAAATACCACTATTTAAAAAAAGAATTCCAAAAATACCACCCAACCCCAAAAAATTCCAAAAATACCACCATTTTTCAAAAACCGCCACCCCACCCTGCGGTTTACACGAAAACCGCTGGGCGGGGGTGCGGTTTTCTATGCAAACCGCGAGGCTAAGAGGCGGTTATAAAAAAAAATTGGACCAAAACCGCCACCCCACCTAGCGGTTTGGTCCTTTTTTTTCGATCAACTCCTAACTTCGGCCGAAACTTCAAACGAACGTAACTTTGCACTCGGGTATCCGATAGTAGTGATTTTTTTTTCATTTCGCATAACTTTCAAGATCTACAACTTTTACTCGGATGAAATTTTCAAAACAGGAATTAGTTGTGGATATACGGGACCTTGGGAATAACTTTACCTTTACTTTTCACAAATCCATGTACATTTTGAAATTATGATTATCTTAAAAGTTGTAGATCTTGAAAATTTATGCGGAATAAAAAAAAAATTCATGACGTTCGGATTTTGGATCACAAAGTTATGGCCACTCAAAGTTTGACGAAATCAAAAAAAGGCTCGTTCGGGGTGGCAAATGACGTTTTTTCGAGACGAAGGCGGGACCCGGTGGTTTGCGGCTTGCAAGATCTCAAAAATTTATTCGGATTCAAAAAATGGAGGCCGCAAACTTTTTGAGATCTTGCAAGCCGCAAACCGCCGGGTCCCGCCTTTCGTCAAACTTTGGGCGGCCATAACTTTGTGCTCCAAAATCCGAACGTCATGAATTTTTTTTCGATTCCGCATAACTTTTCAAGATCTACAACTTTTAAGATAATCATAATTTCAAAATGTACATGGATTTGTGAAAAGTAAAGGTAAAGTTATTCCCAAGGTCCCGTATATCCACAACTAATTCCTGTTTTGAAAATTTCATCCGAGTAAAAGTTGTAGATCTTGAAAGTTATGCGAAATGAAAAAAAAATCACTACTATCGGATACCCGAGTGCAAAGTTACGTTCGTTTGAAGTTTCGGCCGAAGTTAGGAGTTGATCGAAAAAAAATTTTTGGACCAAACTGCTGGGTGGGGAGGCGGTTTTGGGCCAAACCGCCACCCCACCCAGCGGTTTGGTCCAATATTTTTTTTTTATAACCGCCTCTTAGGCCCGCGGTTTGCATAGAAAACCTCGCCCCCGCCCAGCAGTTTTCGGGTAAACAAAGGATAATTGTTTGGTACACAAAGTGAGATATTCTTGATAGTTTCGATGATTAATCCATATTTATTTATAAAAAATTTCAAATATAAAATTATATCATAAATATTTAAAAATTTAATAAAAATGGACACACCTTATACAAAATTCTAGTTACATCCTTGCTCAAGGGCATAGTCGAGGAGAGGAAGCATCTCCCCATTGTCAGGCCATCGGTCCGTCCAGAATTTGTGTCCCTTCCATCTTCAATGCTTATCCTCATGCCCGCGACCATTATTCCCACCATTTCCCGATTCCTTTCCACAACGTTGAAGCTCACACCCATAATTCCTTAGAGTTTCACCTTCAAGAAATTAGGGGTGTTCAAATGGTTACCGTGGTAATAATCAAACCAATTAAGCCTAAATTTCATTAACCATGAAATAAAATGTCTTAACCAAACCGTCCAAATTAACACGAAAACCAAATTAACCAAACCAAAGTTTAATTTGGTTTGGCTAATCGGATTAACCAAATAACATAACATTGCATGAGAACAATTATCCTGTTACTGATAAAACATAACCACATGTTGTTACTATCATTATATATAAGCAATAATAATAAGACTAACCATCCATGATTATCATCATCATTCGAGTTAATACATCATTCATCATCTCTGCACCTAATATAGTTAGCCTACAACAAACCCTTTAAGATAAATATATACCAATACCAGTCATCAGGAAGTTCAAACTCTCCTACAAAACAGTTAAACTATACATAGTTTGAGGTGGCTGTCATGGTAATGTACGTAATCCAAAAGTCTAGTAGTTGTCCAAAATGTTTTGGTTTAGTAAATAGGCATGCCCATTTAGTTTTTGACCCATAATGTTTTGGTTTGTTGTGCACATGAAAATAAAATAGCGATTCACGAAAGTTTGGTTTGATTAGTTGCATGGAAGTATAAATAATTCTGTATATTAGGTGTATCATTAATTGGTTAATTGGTTTCATTGGTTAGCAGTGTTGAAACCAAACCAAACCACCTAAACCAAATAAGCAAAATTGTTTAACCAAACCAAACCAATTATCTAAATTAACCAAACCGAATTAACCGATTGCTACCGGTTAATATGATTACCATGGTCCATAGTAAGTAGTAACCAATCCATTTGTACACCCCTATTGATAAATTACGTTTGTTAAGGCTAAAGTAATTTTCATCCAACCATTATCGCAATCAATAACTTAAAATCATGGTGACGCTTGATCTAAACACAAAGTCAGACCAATATCCCTAATAAGTAATAAGTGGTGTTGTTCAGCAATAGAATCCGAGGATACTTTAATTACTTGTAGGAAAATGGAATTTTTCTTTGTGTAATCCAGAATTTCCCTACAATTATGTTGGCCTCCTTGGGATGTTCATCCCCTTGGAAGCTTGCTGCAATTCTGTTGTAAAAGGGTACACTGGTTCCCTTTTATTCCCACAAAAAGTTCCTAACTACAGGTCTATGAAGTGACAGACACACAGGACCTGCAAATGATGGCATCGTGGACAAAACTCAGCTGCACTAAGTAAGCATATTGCTAGGTCAGTAAATACTGCACTAATAAGTTCAACATTCAATGAAACTCCAAAAATGCTTCCCCTGGAACAGACTCTTCAACCCCGAAAGAAACTTCTCTCACAAGTAAACAGAGAGACCAGATAATCAGCTTTTAAGGAACTCAAATCGCAATCAATAGTTATTTTATTAACCTTCTATAGACAAAGATGAAAAGAGAATGCACAATGTATTTACATGTCATAAGCTTCCGACCACATCAAGGTGCACAAAAACTCATTTGCACCTGTTTTTTGAAGCCGGCAATGAGCATAACATGTTTCATCAGCTCTATATGTTCTAGTAGATAACTCAAAGCAGAACAAAAATTCCACCACACCTGATAGCAAGAAACAGAGACAACAAACAAACAAACAAACAACAAGAGAAAAGCATTGATCCGAGTTTCTATTATGCTCGACAGTGACGAGAAAAGAGAGGCATTCATGGCTTCAGAACCCTCTCAATTGCGGCTGCATAGAATTCCTTGGGCATAGTACCAACCACGGTCTCTTGCTTTTCTCCATTCTTGAAAAGCAGAACTACAGGCACAGCCTTAATCTCGTATTCCTCAGCAATTTGGGAATCATTATCTGCATTGAGCACAAAGCACTGAATTCTTCCTTCATACTCCCCAGCAAGCTCATCAATTACTCGGTGGACCATCTTACAGGGGCCACACCAACTTGCATGGAACTCAACTAGGACAGGGGTATCACTTTTCAGAATTGACTTCTCCCAAGAGTCCTTGGTAACAACTGCTGCTGCTGAACATAGCGAAAAACATAGTGGTTAAAGAAGCCTGTCTTATTACTAGACTCTAGATGTTTACTGAAATCTGTGTAGGACAACTTGATCTAAACCAACCATAAAGCAAGCTACAGAAAACAACACTTAATCAACTCCCCAAGATTCTTCTCAGGAAACTCTTATCTAAGGAAGATACCATCTGCTTGAGCTGTTGGATCATCTAATACCATCCGGCGATACAGTGATACAGATCCCTCAAGGGTACAAGCATGTGCCAAATGTTCCCAGCAGGCCAGTAACTACGTATTCAGACTCACCATTGAATTGCATGTAGTCACCATCCATCGCTTCAGTGGGTTGCTCAACTAAAGCATGAGGAGAAGCAATTATATACCAACAAGGCAAAGATTCTATGGAGGGGGTGCTCCCCATAAGCACATTCTAACCATTCAGTACTCTCAACTTCATACACGAAATGAAAATCAATCATTCTCCAATCTGAGACAGAATGCAGGAGCACTCTGCACTCAGTCTCCAACAGCATATTAGCCTAATATGGTTGTAGAAACAGATAATGCAAGTAAGAAGACTATCATCATATTTGGAGAGAGACGACTAATGAATTAAGGTTACAGGAAGATACAAGAGATGTGTTCCCTTACTGCTCTAATCAGAATCAAAAGAAAAGCAGGTACAGATAACTAAAGATAACATTGTTGTTCCCTTTCTTTCAATTCAAAACTCAGCCATTGAATTGCTTTCTGCCAATCTCTGATTCAATGTTCTAACGATAATGTGCAAAAGCTCTATTGGCCTCCGCCATTCTATGGGTCTCCTCTCTCTTCCTTACAGCATCACCACTTCCTTTGGCAGCATCGATTAACTCATTACTTAGTTTGAACACCATATCCCGACCTTGCCTCTTTCTAGCTGCCACCAGCAGCCAACGGATCGCAAGTGCTTTGCCCTGAGTCGTGTCTACTTCAACAGGAACCTGTTGAGTTGCACCCCCAACACGCCTAGATTTCACAGCTACATCAGGAGTAACTACTTGCACTGCTTCCCTCAACACTGCCAATGGATTTTGTCCCGTCTTTTCCTGAACCCTCCCCAAGGCTCGGTACATAATGAAATAGGCCAGTGACTTTTTCCCACTTTTCAGGACTCGGTTAACGAACATGCTAACTAATCGATTACGGTAAACTGGGTCGGGTTTTGCCGTTTTCTCTTTCTTGCCACCTTAACAATTCACAAATTCCGTCAGAGAAGCAAGCGCAAAATTCAAACAACATCTTCACTACTCCGCCGGGAAGGTTCCCACCAATGAAATCAGAAATGCTCGAGAAACAGAAACTGATTTTGGTGCAAACCCTAAGCATGAATTGATTGACAACGGTGGACCGCAATCAAAATTGAAATGTATCAGATGTGAAAAAGAAAGTGCCGGAATGGGAAACGCTTCAAGGGTTTTTTTTTTTTTTTTTTTTGCAATTAAGATGAAGAATTTCTACCTTTGGATCCGCGCATGCAAACGACCTGGAGGGGAGAAGACGAGGGGGAGCTGGTTAAACGGAGACCTAATCCTCTGACTTCGGGGGAGAAGTTGAAACCGAAGGAGATTGCCGAGTTGGAACTGAGCTCCGCCGGTTGACGGAGTGGGGCAGAACCAGAGAGAGGAAGAGGGCGGAAGCACGCTGAAGTAGAAGCCGCCATTTTCAGAGCGCCGGAAGAGTTTTCTCGGTGTGAAAATGGAGAAGACGAAGTAGCGAATCTGGAAGTAGGAATAGATCAGATAAGGAGAGGAAAAAGAGCTGTCAAATTAAAAACAAAAATGGAAAAAGTTTTATTTATTTATTTTTAGTTGTTAAATGTTTAAATTAAATAGAAAAGATATCACACCCGGTGGGACTCGAACCCACAATCATTTGATTAGAAGTCAAACGCCTTATCCATTAGGCCACGGGTGCTTTTGGTTAATGATAGGATGCCTACTATATAATTTTCATTGGTGGGATGTTCAAGTGGTATTCCCAATTGTAGTTTGACAACTCAGCTCCAACCAAACTCTTATTGACAAGTCACTGAGATGCCATCTAGTTGGGCTGATGTACAAAAGAGGGAAATATCCACAAAGCCATCCAACACAATGATCCTTCAACAAGGCTTTTCAATGGAACAGCCTAATGCCAATTCCAGTTCTCTATTGGTCATAGCTTTAACCTGACAAAGTTGCAAAGTTCAATCACAACTACATCCTGAACACACCAAACTTGGTGTCTTCAGAGGGGCGGTTCATGGAAGCAGATATACAGAGCCCTATAACTTTTCTCGTGTCTGCTGGATCGATGATGCCGTCGTCCCAAAGCCTCGCAGTTGAGTAGTATGAACTACCTTCCCTCTCGTATGCTTCAACCACTTTCCCCTTGAAGCTTTCCTCCTCTTCTGTGGTCCACTGCAGAATCAAAATGTACTCGTCATGATTCGGCGCTAATCCAGAAACTCATTACACAACGCCAGATGGAAGAATGAATGATTTTTACCTGGATCCCCTGCTTCTTCTTGTTTGCCTTTTCAATCTGAGATAGCACACCGGCAGCCTAAAAGCAAATTTGGGAAGAAAGATGTCATGAGAGAAGACATTAACTTATCAAATCAAGTTGCCGGCTTTCAGTTCAATGAAGAAGATTAAGTACCTGCGCTCCGCCCATGACTGATATTTTAGCATTTGGCCAGAGGAACAAGAAGTCAGGGCTATATGCACGACCACACATTGCATAGTTTCCAGCGCCGAAGCTTCCACCAACCATGATGGTTACCTTAGGCACCTACACCACGGAAATAGTTATAGGAATCAGGTTTGTTCATGTCCTATTGTACCATGTCCCAAACATCTGCAAAACTTTGTTTTCAGTTACTGAAATCATACTCCATTGAAATGTTACTTTGAGGTGGTAATCAACATCTAACGGGAGAAGTGCCACCAACCTTTGCACAAGAAACAGCCATTACCATCTTCGCACCCGATTTTGCTATACCATTTGCCTCAGATCTAGAGCCAACCTACAAAACCAGCAAACCACCGTGACTCGAAGGCTATCAAAATTCATAACCAAGAAAGAAGCACAAAGCTGACCAACTTACCATGAATCCAGTGATGTTCTGCAGGAAAACTAGAGGAATGTTACGCTGACTACAGAGTTCAATGAAATGTGCCCCCTTCAGAGCAGATTCATTAAACAATATTCCATTATTTCCAATTATTCCCACAGGTTGACCGAAAATTTTAGCAAAGCCTGTCACGAGGGTCTGCAGAGATGCAACTGAGATTCCGTTACTCAAAAGGTCAAAGCCTAAGCCAAAGAAAGGTATCGAAGGGTTCTCAGAGATGCTCACCGTTCCATATAATTTCTTGAACTCATCAAACTCACTTCCATCAACAATTCGGGCAATAACTGATCGAATATCAAACGCCTGCTTGTGGTCTGCCGGGGCAATAGTTCTCAGCTCCTTTATGTCGTATAATGGCTCTTTGTACTCGAGACTTAAGTTATGTCCTTCATTGGCCACTCGGCATTTTCCAGCCATGTGCAAGTTCTTGATAATGTTCCTTCCAAGCGCTAGTGCATGCAATTCATCTACAATTGAAGGGATAACAATACATACACATGATCAGTTCTGGATTTTCATTGTTTATATGCCCTTGTTCATAAGTTTCTTCCTACCTTGAGCAAAGTAGTCTGAAACTCCTGATGTTTTGCAATGCAAGGAAGCACCTCCTAAAGCTTCAGCAGATACTTCCTCTCCTGTAGCAGCCTAACATGAATTTTCCCCTCAATTTAACTTCACCAAAAAAGTATAGAAAAACGGATCACCATTATGCATGCAGCAACTTCAATCTAGAAAACAAGAACTTGCAACTGACCTTGACAAGTGGTGGTCCAGCCAAAAATATGGTTGCATTACCCTTGACCATCACACTTTCATCAGCCATAGCAGGAATGTAGGCACCACCAGCTGTACAAGAACCTAATACCAGTGCAATCTGTGGGATGCCTTCAGCAGACATTACAGCTTGGTTGAAGAAAATTCTTCCGAAATTATCCTTGTCGGGGAACACCTCAGCCTGCTTCGGAAGAAAAGCACCACCACTGTCGACGAGATAGATGCAAGGCAGTCTGCATCGAGCAGCAATCTCTTGCGCCCTAAGATGTTTCTTTACTGTGATGGGATAGTAAGTTCCCCCCTTGACAGTAGGATCATTTGCTACAAACATGCAAAGTCGGCCATGAACAGGACCTATTCCAGTAACTACTCCGCCAGAAGGCAGGGATTCATCATATAATTCATGGCCTGCAAGCTTTAAGCCAATGAACATAAAGTAAGCAGCAGCGAAATGAGACATTTCAGGTGACCACATATCAGTATTGCCTGAAACTTACCATAGCCTTATATATCATATGATCCAAAGCATTACAGCTAATTTATTTCACAAAAGCATAAGGACTTGAAAGGTCCAAGTACCTGAGAAAGCTCAAGAAATGAAGAACCTGGATCAAGCAGCCGGTCAATTCTTTCTCTTGGTAGCAGCTTATTCCTGCTTCTGTTCCTCTTGACCGCCGATTCTCCTCCTCCAGCCAAAACCTCCAAAAATAAGCAAGACGCAGGGGGGAAAAGGAACCCAACCCACATCAGAATTCTCAGTTTCTCACACTACGAACATCAGAAAATTTCCCATTTCTTACTTGGTTTATGTTGGACTGGAGCTGGGAAATGAGAGACTCCATAGCCATAGAGTTGCGGGAAAACGACTCGGAAGTCCTGTCCACCCCATCGGGAAGAACCCCAAAGCTGAAACCTCTTGTGCAGCGCAGAAGATGAAACGAGGTCGACTTGGATGCTAAAGAAGCCGAAGCAATTCTTCTCGCCACAATCCTCAACATATCTCCCCTTCTCAACGTCTCCCTCGTTTTTCCTCCAAAAGTAGGGATCTTGCAGTTTCTATCCACTCTGTACTTCGTTCTTCTTCTTCCCTTCCCGACGGTATTTATTATATATGTATGTGCCTTTTCTCCGCTTCTTCTCTCTTTCTTCAATCTTCAGTGATCGGATGCAGTAGGTGTCATCCTCATCTAATCCATTGCTGCGTTGGCCTGCTCTATTGCCTAATAATCATGTGTGTTTTTCTTATATTTTTTCGATTCTCTCTCTACAGCAATGATGTACTAATTAGCAGAAAGTAAATCCATTTTCATTTTTTTTAAGTTTCGGATAAGGGGGACGAGCCTAGAGTTAAGTGAAGAGTCCAAAAATGGTCGCGCGCCTTTCCTGTTAAGCGGCACAGGGAAGCAAATCAATTCGAGAGGCATCAATGGAGTCGTTCTTCTGTACGCTATGTCCTGCAAAGCTTCCTTCTCTCAAGTTCTATTATTCAATGGCTGTCACTCCTCCTTCGTCTCTGACTTGCGCCTCCGTGATGGAATCTCCCTCACGGCGAAAATCAGCCGCTCCGAGAAACCGCTCTTCGAAACCCATCTCCCAGACGGCTTCCCCTCAAATACCCACGACTCCAACCACCAGTAATTCCGACTCCACCGCTCCCATCTCCGCCGCGCCTCCCAAAAAGGTATCTCCTTTTTACTTCCAGTTGGATGAATGGAACAGTATTAGGTCTGATTGAGTGGGCATTGAAGAAGTCTGACCTTTTCTTGCAGGTCCTTGTTCCCATTGGATTTGGCACTGAAGAAATGGAAGCTGTGATATTAATCGATGTTCTGCGGCGAGCTGGTGCAAAGGTCACTGTTGCCTCAGTGGAACCGCAGCTAGAGATTGAGGCTGCAGCTGGGAGTAAGCTAGTTGCTGACATCTCCATTTCTGATTGTTCTGATGAAACCTTTGATCTCGTGGCTTTGCCGGTTAGTCGTTTCGTTTTACTTCCAAATGATGAACCTAGTTGTTTGCTTTCAAATTTTGTTCAACTTGTTAATTTAAGAACCACAGGCATAGTTTGAAGTACTCTAGAACTATAATTGCAGCATATGGGTTGTTTTAATGTAGTCTATGATTAGGGAGGAATGCCGGGCTCGGCTAGGTTGAGAGATTGTGAAGTTCTGCGCCGAATTACGAGCAAGCAGGCTGATGAAGAGAGGTTATATGGTGCCATATGTGCAGCTCCAGCTGTCACCCTTCTTCCATGGGGCCTCCTAAGAAAGAAGCAGGTTGTTTACTTTGGTTACGGGATTGTCAGTAATATATGGATGCAGGACGAACTGTGCTTGTATTTGTATGTTTCAATTGCTAATTGTTCTGTAGCGTGTAATGCAAGATCACATGCCACCCAGCATTCATGGACAAGCTCCCCACCTTCTGGGCTGTTAAATCAAATCTTCAAGTTTCAGGAAAAGTTACTACGAGCCGCGGGCCTGGAACATCTTTTCAGTTTGCTTTATCCTTTGTGGATCAGCTGTTTGGGGAGACAGTTGCCAAGGAAGTTGCAGAGATGTTGGTAAGGACTAAGGATTGCGCATTCCATAATTTGTTTCCTGAAGTTTATCAAGAAACAGTCTAGCAAATTGAATGAAGTTTGTATTGCTTTTGTGATAGTTGATGGATACAGGTGATGATAACTGCAGAAAGGAAGAGTTGAACCCCACAGAGTGGTCTTTTGAACATAATCCTCGTGTAATTGCTTGCTTCCCCCTTCTGTCTATCTCTCTCGTTTTTCTTTAAATAGATCCCGATTTGCTTACATCCTTAGATTGTCGTTAGTCGTTTCAACTTACAACAATCACTCGACAGGTGCTAATTCCAATTGCTAATGGCTCGGAAGAAATTGAAGTAGTTACCATTGTCGACATTCTGAGGCGAGCCAATGTGGAAGTTGTGGTTGCTTCAGTTGGAAAATCTGTGCAAATTTTGGGATCACAAGGTACAAAAATGGTTGCAGACAAGTTCATTGACGAGGCTGCTGAATTTGCCTATGATCTTATAGTTCTCCCGGTAAGCATCCTGCAATGTTTTCAGCCTGCACTAGAACCAAGGACTAGACTGGACACATTTTCAAAAGTTTCCGTTCAACAAAATTTCAGGGTGGAAGTGCTGGATCAGATCGCCTTCAGAAATCAAAAGTTCTAAAGAAGCTACTGCAGGAACAAGATGCAGGTGGAAGAATATACGGAGCAGTTTGCTCCTCCCTATTCGTTCTGCAGAAGCACTGTCTGCTAAAGGATAAGAGAATCGCTGCACATCCTAGCATTGGTAACAAGTTAACGAACGAAATGGTGAATAGCGCAAAGGTAGTCATTGATGGAAGGTTGATTACCTGCAAGGGACTTGCTACTGTAATGGATTTCGCACTAGCTATAGTGACGAAGTTGTTTGGTCATGCTAGAGCAAGAAGTGTTGCTGAAGGCCTTGTGTTGGAGTATATTAGAACTTGAGAGAGAGAGAGAGAGAGAGAGAGAGAGAGAGAGAGAGAGAGAGAGAGAGAGAGATTATGCAATTCATGTTGAAGTTCAAACCATAATCTCATATACCATATGCGAACAATCCTCCTAATGAAAGGAAACACAAACATGTCTACAAGTCCACAACAATTAACAAAGAATATACAGACAACAGTGGACCGTAGCTTGCATTGTTTTCTTAACTTAATAATATGAATTCCCTGTTCCTAAACTCCACTAGGACAGCATTACTACCAATTTTTGTAATTTACAGGGCAAAACTCACATCATCTGCTCCCTACAAACGACGATAGCTAATCTACCCTATATAGGTTCAGTAAGTATTCATATAAGCATGCCCAGAGGTTGAAACGTCTCTCAAACGCGTACTTCTTCGGAAATGTGTTGATGTTGATCCTACCAAGGCCCTGTCAGTGTTCTCCTCAAGCATAACCTTTTTCCTCCCCATGGATGATTCATTTTCTCCAAGAACTGCAATCACAGGAAAAGGGTAAATCGACATTTGACATATAAGAAGCCATCTATAATATTGATATCCAAAGGAAAGGGATAAGAAGAGCTTCTCACCTGATTCTTCTGCATCTGCATTATTTCAGCCTGCACAAAACCAGCCAGAGTTTTTATAAGATAATGTGTAAGGAAGGCTGAATCTTCCAACATCTCACAGTCGCAATTTTAGAATGAACAGTACCTGTTTTCTTTCCAGCTCTTCATTCAACTCTTTCAGTTTCGCCACCTCAGCTTCCAGTTCCAGCGTATATGCCTATTGAAAGACAATGCAACATCAACCTTATGTACATAGTACACACTACAGGCTAGGGCATTCTACCAAAATATTAAGAATCTACAGGTCACTATAACTATGCCCACATTGGGAAACACAGATTGTCACAAATGAAGCACACACAAATCTGAAAGATAGTCACCTGCTTACGAGCTCGAGATCGTGCAGCAGACTCCCTGTTCTTAATCATCCTTCTCTGCCTTCTCTCAACAACCTTCTCCAAAGCCGTATTAGGTTTTCTGCCCCGAGTAAACACATAAGGAACCGGCGACACAGATGAGGTATCAGCATCACTCCTCGAAAGCACATCAGGCGATATCTGGCTAGCAGGAGAAGCTGTTGCAACTGTAACGCCTCCAGTTCCTAAACCACCCACACGACCTAAACTGTTATTGTTTATACCCGTTGAGGAGTTTTCCAAGCCAACAGCACCAGAGCTCCTCATCCCTTGGCTTGGTAGCTGTGCACCACCATTCACCATGTGCATCGGAGATGCAAATGCCACTGTAGCTGGCTTGGGAAAGAGTGGCGGTGGCTGCTGGTGCTGACTCCTAGGTTGATGATGCAACTGCTGAGATGGCTGCTGCTGCTGATGATGATGATGCAACTGCTGAGATGGCTGCTGATTATGATGATGCATAGAGGGTCTGATTCCTCCGACATTCATCCCCAAGCTCGAGGCTTGATTTGGTTGCTGTTGGAATCCAAGTGCCAAACTACTACTGTTGTTATTATTCAGTTGACTTAGTTCGCCAAAGAATCCCACATTGTTATTCTCCCTTCCCATTTGCTTGTTGGTATCCTCTCTAACTACACCTGCTCTCAACAGGAACTCCTCCAGTGTCATCTCTCCCAGCGTTCGCTGCCTCTGAGGAGGATCAGGTGGAGCAATCTCCTTGGCTGCTACCGTGTTCTCTTTTATGAAATCTTTCCAAACTTCATCAACGGTTTTCTGACTTAAGGTCCTAGGCAAAGTTAAGGAGCCTTGTCTCTGTAGATTCCCGCCTGAAGCACCAGCTTCGATGCCAGTTTCCTCAGCCGAGCATATGTTTTTGAGTAACTCGTCCATGTTCATTGAGCCAAAATCTTTCCCTAGGCTTCCCCCCCAGGTGTTCTGAAGCTCATCGAAGGTGAGAGAGTATACTGAAGACTGGCGGACCAATGGAGTGCTGACAACTGGTGGTAACTTGGTTCCTGCACCGTCTCCAAATGAAGTGTTGCCGAAGTTACTGAAGTTGAAATGTGATCCCATTTCCTGAAAAGGCCTTCAAGTTTGTCCAATGAAGTGCATATAATGGAATCTCCCAGTCCTTTTTAGCTAGTGTCCCTTCAAATTGCAATAACTACAATAGAAGCATAAGGTAAAGCAAAGCGTCAACAATAGTTGCATATGTAGTAATACACAGTGTAAGTATGAAATTGAACCTGTAAACAGTCCCCTAAACTGAAAAGCTTGTCAAATGTGAACTACTGATTGAGCCAACAATCTACAACATGATGAAGCAAAATCCAAGCTTTTCTACAGATCCCTAACATGCAGAAACATCTCACAAGTTACACAGGCAAGCCTCATCTAGCAAGAACCACCGCAGACAGAAAAAAAAAAAAAAAAAACAAGGGGAAAAATTGACAAATCAGAAAGCCAGAAGGAAGGAAAATATCTAGTCCTACCACTACCCGGTAACCTAGTTTCAGCAGTAGATCAAAGGACATAGCTTGTCTTGTTGTTTGAACTTGTCCAAGCATACAGTCGAAAAGATATAGCAGAAATTGGATTAGAAAACCAAAAGTTACTTCCTTTTACCATGATAAACCTTCCAAATTTCAGATCCGGAAGAAAGAGGGAAGAAAAGCAGAATCCAGATGAACTCATCCAACACCAACCCATTTCTGGGTAACACAGAAAACGCCCAAAATCTCAAACAGCCGCTCAAAATAACGAGCTAACAGCTGAGAATTCATGCCAGAATCCATCTGGAGACCCATTTTCCCCAACTGGATTCCAATATGCACCAATCGAAAAAAAAATTGGAACCTTTTCTTCACAACCCAAAAAGGGTAAACGGAAAGTTTAGACTCGTATCAAATCCTAAACCCCCAATCTCCCTAAAAATCGGGCAAATCAACCTCTCTGGAAGATCAGAAGCAGCAGGCAAGAACACCACGTAACCCAGTCAAAAAAAATAACCTCAGGATCGCAATTATTCCTATTAAAAAACTAATACAATAAGATGTAAATCACTGAAATATCCATTTACTAAAATAAAATATTAAACACGGAGAGGAGGCAAGCCGCAAGAGGGGATAAACATGGAGCGAAATGGAGGAAAAACCCAAAGGGAAAAGTAGGGAGAAAAAAAAACTGCTTACCTTGGCTTTTTATTTTCCTGGAAATTAGGAGGTGGAGATAATAATAAATACGGGGAAAATTAATTGGGATATTTTGGTGGCGTGGAAATCGGAATGGAGACGGGGAGAAGGGTTAGAGAGAGAAGTTAGAGAGAGAGGGGTGTCGTTTCTGTTTGCTAACCAGAGCTCTGCTCGCCGGCGGAAGGAAGGAGGAGGCGACAAGTGGGCAATTTGCCGTCTTCTCGACACGAGTCGTCCTTTTAAAGCTCCTCCTCCCTCGTCCCTCTCGATTTGGTAATTGTTTGTTTCCTAATTTTATTTTGATTTTTCTGTAGTTTTCTCCTTTGGGTATTATTAATTATTTTATTTGGTGTGTTCGAGAAATTTGAGCCACGGGGATCCCGTTACGTGGGCCAATCGGAGAAGAGGTTGGAAACTGTGATGTGATTGTGCAGCCAATGAGAGGGAGCAAAGTGGGCGCGATCCCGGCCGTTCGTTTTCGGTCTCCGACCTCAATTACTTAGAGCCAGAGGGGAGGATTTTCCCCCTAGTTTTGAGTATATTAACAGTGGCAAATACTGTAGGGTTGTTCAAACGGTTACGTTGGTAATCGTTTTAAACAGTACTATTTGGATCAGGGGCGGATCCAGGGAGATTTAGGGATGTCCCCGGACATCCCTAAATTTTGGGAAAATGATTATCCAACTCTCGGTAGTAATTTACGTATGGACAAAAAAAAATACAATTGATAGTGAGGGACACCCCTTAAATTTGAAAAAATGATTATCCTACTGTCATTTGTGTATAGGAATATAAGTGGTAGGTTGGATAATTCAAATCAAGAACACTATTATTATTAATAAACTTAATTTCTGTTGAGCTAAACTCATTTGTTGTTCGATTTTGAACAATGTGTAACAGTGAAATGGCATTCCCTATCTCTAATTATTTTAAAAACCTAATAAATAAACTAATTTCAAACTACCCTTAATTTGTATTGATTTTATGATTGTACGACAAGTGTTGAAAGAGTCTTTCAGCTTTGGGTTACATCAAGAACAAGTTTACAAATCAAATATGCGATAAGTTCATGAATGATTGTCTAGCTAGCAGTGTATATAGAGACAATTTTTTTAACACTATAGACACCAAGTGTATTCTACAATTATTTCCGAATATGAAAACATATCATGGACTTTTTTAACCTATACGAGTAAGGTATTTTCATATTTACAATTTTATTTTTATCAATTATTTTTATTTTAATTTAATTTATTTTTTAAAAGAGGACACCCCTATAAAAAATTTCTGGGTCCGCCACTGCTTTGGATAATTTGGTTTGGTTAATTTAGATAATTAGTTTTGTTTGGTTAAAGTTTTTAGCTTGTTTGGTTTAGGTGGTTTGGTTTGGTTTCAGACACTCCTAACCAGTCAAACCAAATTAACCAGTTAAGTAATTAGTCATATGTCTAATATATATTACACATACTTAATACTTTGCATAACCACTCAAGAGTTAAATGTTCATCCCTTTTAGACTCATAAAATATAAAGCTCAATATTGCTCCTATAGTGTATATTTGTATATGTAAAGTGTACACCACAGCATATGGACGCCTAATTTAGATAAATCTCATACATTATGATGGATGAAAACTTGAAAGGAAGGTGCTTTCCAGCCTATGATAATTGCTAAGAGAAGTCAAGTCACACAAACACAACAATTCATTAACCCATACCATTGTCATAAAATTTTGTTAGGTGAATACTTCTATACTAATCGTAAGATAATTGTCTTAGTTGCATGATGTTATGGGTCAACTATAACTATGTGTTGATTGTTATGTTTTATTCATTATATAAATTGCGAATTGATGCATTAACCGGAAAATGTTCTCACTTAATGATATAATGTGATTTTATATTGGTTAATCTGGTTAACCAATTAACTAAATCGATTAAACTTTAGTTTGGTTAATTTGGTTGTTGTATTAGTTTGGACGGTTTGGTTATGATATTGTATTCCATGGTTAATGGAATTTAGCCTTATTTGGTTTGGTAATAACCATGGTAACCATTTGAACACCCCTAGCAAATAGGGGTGGAAATCGGTACAGTACGGTATCGGTATCCCAATACCAAATACCAAAATCCCGAATACTGAATTACACTTTAAAGTCAATCCCAATCTCAATCCCTAAATAATTATGGTATCCCAATCTCTAAATATTTCGGTATTCCAGTCGGTACTTCGGTATCTCTATCGGTACTATTATCAAATACGCAATTAATTACATTTGCAATTAATAATTAAATATATAAATTAGATTTTATTGTTTATTTAGGGGAAAAGGACTAAGCAAAGAGTTTTGAATTAAGATATTATTAAGGAGAATGGAGGAGAGGAGACATCTCAAGTTTTTGTCATTAGTAAACTTTAATTTGATGAATTGGACGTTGAGAGACGACTATTAATAGCGATGGAATGATCTGTGTATAATTAAATGACACTCTTGGTGGTTGAGGGTCATGTAGTAGTGAATGAGAGAGTCTAGTTGAGAGGATAAAATATACACTAGCTTATATTTCGGTATTGATCGATATTTCGGTATATACCGATCTCAATCCCGTAATGCCTAATACCGAATAACAATTGAAATTCAATCACAATCCCAATTCCAAAAAATAATACGTGTATTCGGTAATACCAAATGTAGACAAATTCGATACGGTATTCGGTATATCCCAAATACCGGTACCAAACTTCCAGCCCTAGTGGCAAATACCCCCAATGTGTAGGGAAAAGTACCTGCATTGCATACAGCTTGGAGTATATTAACAGTGGAAAGATATGCGATCTCTGCGTTTCAAGAAATTCAAGACATAGAGGACAAGTCAAGTCCACTTCAGGTTGCCACTTCTTGATTTTGTCAAGTGTAGTAACTCTTCCTAGACGTAACCAGACAGGCTATAAGGGAATTCTTTGGAATATGAAACTGCCCCCTAAGAATCTTGTGGCCCGTAAATTAATTATGCTAATTATGCTAATTATGCTAGTTAGTGATTGCTCGATTGTTTATATTCTTTTCTTGTGTAGTTAAGCTTTGAACAATCTTGACATCATTGAATTGCGGAAGATGGCGGTGAGGAGTCTATTAACGTTTTCAAAATAGAGGATTTATTTATCTATGCAAAAGTAGCAAAAACTATCCACATGACACTGTAAAAACTTCGTGCAACAACTTAAGTTAATAGCACTTTCAAGTCTTTAATCGCCATACGATGCAAACAAAACTCATGTTCACATAGAACATAAAGGTCTTCAATCTTGATTGTTCTGTATTTGTTTGGTACAACCTTATTAAATCGTTACTTTCATTTATGATTCGTTCTATCTAAAGACAATATCATTTATTGCTCGAAAATTTTATTGTTTTATTCTCTTTTAATCTAGGGTCATTTGTGAAAGGGTTATAAGCTTATAATCACTGGACAATTAGAATGAATAGATTATGATGCTTGCTAGGTTTTAAAATGTTGTCATTTGGATGAGTGATATGAAGAACGAATCATAGATAGTAAGTCGTTTCATCATCAATTGGGAAATAATTTCTACAATTGAGAATTCATGCCAATTAATGAGTGGTTTTTTTTCCTTCGTGACAATATTATGATGATACTTGTGTCCATAAATAATCCATGCACAAAGAATGAAGTTGATCCGGATTGTGAAAGAATACCATTTCTTCCCCGTCGCGAGAGTGAATAATGCTCCTATAGGCAAAGCATGAGAGATGTTAGTTTGGGTCAATTAGACAATGTTTGGGTATTGGTTTGTGCCTATCATGGATTAGAACTTAGAAGTCTCGTGGGGGTAAAGCCATTTAACAAGATTTCTTTAGGTTTGTAGTCCTTGATGAACTTTGGTCTACCCTAGTCCCTAGCTGACACTAAAGTGCCACTCCCACTAAATAAAAACTAATTGTTTATGATCGTTAAGTTGTTATAAATTTTGAATAAGTTGTTCCATTTTGAGATTAGTTTCAATTATTATATATTATTTTTTTTTCCAGTATCTATATACGACATCTGTTGCAGTTACTCATCTAGAGTGGAAATAATATTGCATTGAAAAAAGGTAACTTACTTAATTAATCATTTTTTAATTATTGTATAACGAAGAAATATCCTTTTAGAAGGTAACTTGTGATTTTTAACAAGTATAAGTTTGTTGCCGCCACCTTTTCGTTCGAGAGGTCATCTTCTTCTTCTCGTGTTCATGCTCTGTTTCATAATCACATAAAATCTGTAAATCGCTGCTTCAGATTTTAATTAACGGGACTTTGAGAGATGGTTTGCCTAGTCCTACCAGCATTTACAGTGAGAAATAAATGAACACTCTAAAAACAGAATGATTGATTCACATATTCAATTTTGTTTATTTCCTACCCAATTCCTCACATGTCCACCAGAAAACTTAACCAATTCAAACTTCTTCCAAGTGCCTTAGATAAACCCCTCATGTAATCATGTTGTCAACTAGAAAGGGTTTTATGTTTGTTAGTTGCATGTAATGTTAGAGAGAAGAACACAACTTTTTAAGGCCATGAGTAACTGGGATAAGAAAGGAGTGACATCCACGTCAAAATATCAAGAATCGGGGAGAAAAGGGAAGAATGGGAACATGATAAGCTTCTTTAAAATCTACCATTGATAGTGAGTGGGGTTCCACGAGCCACGTGGCCCTTCATGATTCCCTCACCCACCCCAACTCCATCTAGGTTTATTGCTACTTACTACACAAAGGGATATATCTACTCAATGGAATGGCCATCCAATTTTTCCCATCACTCTCTAATTGTTCGCTGCAGGCAATGTGGTCAAAATCGCGCTTTAAAACTTAAAAAA